CTTAAAATAAATAACATTTCATTTGATCAGTGGTGGAAGAAGTACTTCATTGTGTTAATTATGTAAAAGTACCACATGAAAAATCTACTTAAGTAAACCCGTATAAAACCCAAGTAAAAAGTAAAAACTATTTTGGGCAGATTTTGAGATCTAATAAAGCGTGTCTAATAGTGTCTTTGACAAAGATTTGTGCTGAATTTCAATAGAAAGAACTAAATCATTTTTTTCTAGTAGTTTTATTTCTATATTTTTGTGTTGTGTGTTAAAAATGAACTCTCAGCCTTTTCAGCAGGTCTAAAACTACGATAAAATATACTTTTACTTTTCAGTCCTGTTCAAAAATGTAGTGAATTAGAAAGTACTGATACCTGCTCTCAAAAGCGGTCAAGTAAAAGTAAAAATATCCACTGTAAAATGTAGTTAAATGTTAAATGTAGTAAAGTACAGATACCTAAAATATATTCTTCTACTACAGCATTTGATAGAATTCAGAGGTGGAAAGTAACTAACTAATTACAAATCCTTACTGTAATTGAGTAGATTTTTGGGGTAATTGTACTTTATTGAGTAGATTTTTAAACCTGTACCCCTAACTGAGTATAATTCCTGCCATGTAATTGTAATAAGTTACTTTTAAAGTCGTATGAGTGCTGAGATCCATGATATCTGCTCATTTGTAAACGAGGATAGTCACATGACGTTATCGCCCACTCTGATTGGCCAGAAGAGAAAAATGCAGATTGTGTTTTAAAATAATAAAATTCAGCTTCAAAGTGGTTAATTTATGTAAAAATCTGATCAAAAACTGTTAAAAAGTAACCAGTAAGTGTACTCTGAGTAGTACTTTTCATGTGTATTTTTTTTACTTTTACTTAAGTACAATTGAGGAAGCAGTACTAGTATCTGAGTACACTTTTAGCCAAGTAACTGTACTTTTACTTAAGTACAGATTTGCAGTACTCTTTCCACCACTGACAGAATTCAAATTTGAATATGTTTTAATTCATATTTTTTTAACCTCAGAAAGTTGGAAGTTGTGTATTTGAATTGCAACTGCCAACTACACAGAATTTCAGTTTTAATTCAGGTTTTGACGTTATAAAAACAGCTTTAAATACTCTTTTCCAGCTCATTTTTACTCTGAGAACCACAAAAATCACAAAATCAGCAAAACGTGAATGAGTTTGAGGACTATGATTAGAGGTAATGCGTCAATATTTCTCTCAGCATTTGAACATTGTGAGGAATAGTTTAGATTTGTTTTTGAGGTATTTAACAACAAAATGAATTATAATATAAGTCATAGCCTGTTGGTCTGATATAGAGGAGTATTCATTGTGCAATATATACTAGATTAACCCTTCATGACCTGCCGTATGTTGTCATGATATTCAAATTTCAAACTCAATTTCAACACTTGAAAATCTAGTTGATACTCTACAGATTCCGATACCACAATGATAATAAAAACACTATATATAGAATGTGATTTTTAACATTAAATCATAGTACTTTCTTATTCCATAGTGTCCATGGGTGTATACTAGTCTTTGTACTCTTATACTTGTTCTGATACAGCACAAGATCATCTAAAACTATTCAAAAAACATTCATTTCCATCCTGTGAATGTGAATTTTTTAGTATCGATACCTGCTCAAATGAGTACCTGCTTTTTATATTAGTTCTAGTATCGTTTAGTATCTGATTTTTCGATGCTTTTAACTTAAATGCATGCTGTAGTATCACTTTTAGAACATTAAATTAAGTTATACATATATACACTCTACAAATAAGACCATATCTGACATTTTAAATAACTAAAATGCTCAATAAATCAGGAAAAATAAGCAACAGAAAAAAGAGCAGGAGATGTGTGTGTGTTTTAAGGATAGTTTTGTCTATTTTTATGAGCAAAAATATGAATATTACTCTATTTTTATTGGTCTCTTCTCTGAAAGTTGCTAAAATATATAAGGAAATGGCAGCTCTGGTCATAAAGGGTTAATGTTTCTGATCATCATATAATGCTTTAACAGTAAATCTTTTCACGTTAGCAGGATTTGATAGCAGCGTTTTGCTATATATTTGTTTTAATTTACTCTATATGTAATTACACATTCCATTCATTGGCAAAAATAGAATTACCCCAAACCTGTCTATGTGCACAACAGCGCCCCTGCTGGTTACAGCCACTAACAGCACCACTTCCACCTTCACTATATACTTATGCGTTTTTTGCAGAGTTGTGTGTCTTAGGCTGTGAAAAGTCACATTCTGATTGTAAAAAAGAGGACAAAAAGCTATCGTTTCCTGTTTTCTCTGTGTCGGAACTCACAGATGAGGTCAAATATCTTGGGCATTATGTCACTAACGACCTGTCCAGATGATAGAGACATGTATAGGCAGCAGTGTAAACTTTGTGGTCAGGCCAATATGCTCGTCTGTAAATTCTCCATGTGCTCCAGTCATGTCAGAATTGCACTTTTACTGCACATCTTTGGCGCAACTAAGAAAAAGAGTTTACAGAGTCTGACAGTGGCCTATAACGACTCTTGGAGAATATTACTGAAAGTGCTGAGATTCTGTAGCACCAGTGAAGTGTTTATAACTTGTGGTGTGAGATGCTGTGTCATCACAATCAGATGTTGTATTTACTCATTTATGTGTAGGACCGTGAATCTGAGCAATCAAATTATTCAAGCTCTAGTGCAGGAGTTTCCAATCTTTTTCCTCCCATAAGCTACTTTTTGTAAAATACCAGAGAGCTACTAATTTTAGCCGTCACGGTAAGCTGAAGATGAAGTACATTTAGATGTCTATAAAACATAACCCATTATCCAGTCATCAGTGCCCAAAATTAGGCATCAGAATTATACATTTACAAACGAAATAAGCATTAAATTGATCAAATTTGAGTTATTCAAAGCAATATGTATAATTGAGAAATCCCTTAACGAGCGACTTGGAAGGGGGTGGAGAGCTACTGGTAGCTCCCAAGCTACAGGTTGGAGACCCCTGCACTAGTGTGTCATGTGAGGAGCTCTGTCAGATTCACCTTAAGCTGTGGAGACACTGGCGCTCTTGTCTGTAAACATTATAACATGCACTGTATAATTATATTTTTTATTCTTATAATTTTTTTTCTGTACTATGAACCAGATATTATGTGTTCTTAATAAAAATTTAACTGAACTGAATTAGGTTCTGATCTGAAAATCAAATCAGTGCTTTCCTCTCCTTCACCACCACTTCTGTGTTTCTCTCTCCTGGTAGGCCTTAATTTGTAAGTTGGTCCTTTCATTTTTTGATATAGTTAAAAAGTCAAAAGTCAACAGAAACAGTCATAGTGCAGCCTCTTAGTCAAGGGAATTCTGGAGGTTCTGATCTTTCACATGAGCCATGGCCTGTCAGTATACTGAGTGAGAAAAACTTGTACTGTATGTGTCCTTGTATGTGTCCTCAACCCAAATCCAACCAAACCGACCAACAAGATCATGGAGATGGGTTCCCTGGGACACTGAAGGATGGGTCAAGTCCAAAAGAGTACCTTAACCTTATCTGCAGGTTTAGGAACTGGCATTATAGGACTTTTGGGTCATTCCATGCCAAATCTCCGAATACCCTATCTCATATTTGACTGAAAAAATTGTAGGAGGTTCACACATGTTTCGAGCAAATTCAAGCCACCAGAAATCTATGATAAATCAAAAAGCACATGTGTAAAATCCAGATTCTACAAGTACATTTGCCAAATTGTAACCTTTGAGAATTTGAAGGACCAACCTTAAATCGTTTTTTAGATACAACAATCTGAAAGTGTCTCCATGGAAAACTCTGCTCAAAACAGATCAGGGGAGAGTTGAAAAAATATTTTTTAATGACAAAACCAGAAGGAGTTGGGAGCTAAAAATTGGGACTTTACCTATTGGAAAGTGTGTGAACTTCCTAAAATTTTTTCAGTCAAACCTTAGATAAGGTTGGAGATTTGGCGTGGAGTGACCCTTTTTTTTAAAACAGTACAGGCTAAATACATTTCCTTTAAGGTTATTAGCTTCGAGACACAAATTGCTCCCTTAATCTTCCCGAAATATCTTTTTTGTCATCATTGGTAAACTCCTTAACATTATCAGCGACGCTATCCATAAACTGAAAACCCCATAAGAATATAGTGGGGGTGAAAGTGGTGCTAAGACCTCATGTTTATAGAACATTCAAGCATGTACGTACACAGACTATGAAGGCAATGTGGGTGAAATGACTTGCCCAAGGACACAACGGCAGTATGCACTAGTTGGGGAGGGAATTGAACTGCCAACCTGTTTGCCAGCTTGTTGTTGTTTCATAAATGGTATTAAGACAGCTTCCCCCACTTAAGACTGCAAATGATCTAGATAAGGTAACAATATTATCAAAAACCTAGTATCTATTGTGGGTTGTAGTGATTTAGTTAAACTCAGAGAAGTGGTGTACAGCTAAAAACAAGTGAGTAATGTAAAAATAAGTCTTTTTCATCTATTTATAAATCTTATGTCCAAATTTAAAGCAACCTCAAGTACTAATTGGATACTAAAAAGTAATAATAGTGAATTGTGTAATGCCATTGTAAAGCCAAATTGTTACTTATTATTATGTCTTTTTTCAAATTTTAATGCTTCTCTGTTTGTTCAAAAACAAAACAGAAATTTGATGTAGATTAGACATTTAAAATCTAACTGCAAGTAGAAAACTTCAGAAAATTGGCTATTAAATATACTGTATATATATATTTTTCCAAAATCTGAGACAAATATGGAATGTTTCTTATATACACTACCAGTCAGAAGTTTGGACACACCCAATGTCACATGTATTTTTTTCTTTGTTTTAGATTTTAGATTTAGATTTAGATTTAAACTTAGACTTAGATTTAGATTAGATTTAGATTTAAACTTAGACTTAGACTTAGATTTAGATTTAGATTTAGATTTAGACTTAGATTTTACATATATACAGAAGACACCAAATATACATAGCAAGCTATATGGAATCATGTAGTAAACAAAAAAAGTGAAATAACTTTCTTTTTATTTCTAATTTTTAAAAATTTTATATTCAAATTCTCAAAGTATCCATTTGTTTTGTCGACAGCTCTGCAGACTCCTGCTTTTCTATGAATAAACTTTATGATGAGGTCTCCTGAAATGGTCTTCACTTTACAGCGGTGCCTTGTCAGGGTCAAGAAATACGAAGAGTGCAAAGCCGTGATCAAAGCAAAGGGTGGCTATTTTAGTTTTTAATCTAAAATAAGTTTTGAGTTTATTTTTGTTTACTACATTCCATATTCATTCATAGTTTTGATGCTTTCAGTGAGAATCTACAATGTAAATAATCATGGAAATAAAGAAGATGAATGAATTAAAAAGTGTGTCCAAACTTTTGACTGGTAGAGTACATTTTCAGTTCCTGTTTGACTCACTGTTTGGTTCATGTCTGCTGTACACCACTCCTCTGAGGCTGGTCCCTTGTGTCTGTATCTACACAACACAATGTAAAAACAGTGATGCTCAGACTGTGTGCTCATGAGTCCTTGGTGTGTGAGATCTGCCTCCACAGCAGAGCCTTCAGGTTGTTCAAGGTCAGCGAATGCTCCATGTCCATCTGTGCACTGCCCCTCAGAGCCATGCAGGCGTACAGCTGCCTCTCCAGCTCTTCCCTCAGCACCGACGGCGCCCCCCGCAGGAGGTAGTCTTTCAGCACGCTACACGCTTTGGCCAGATTGGGTTTGTGTGGCTCCTCTTTGCACTTCTTCTCCACCGCATCGCACGAAGAAACGCAATCAGCTCCATAAACGCAATCCAGGTCAGTCTGACATTTCAGCGCTTTCATCTTCTGTCCAAACTGCTCTTCTGAAATGACCACTCTGTTGTCCAGAAGGCGGAGCTCGTAGCGGTCCGTGTAGCCAAAAATCGCGGCGTTCATGTCACAGATGAGGAAGCTGCCGTAGGTACCGTGAAAGATGTCCTCCACGAGCTCCAGAAGACCCATGGAGATCTTGGCTTTGCGTGGCCAGGAGGGGGTGAACCACTGGTCCATGGTGCGCTGGAGGCCAGTGGGCAGCCAGTGGGCGAGGGGCCAGGGCAGAGACAGGCCGTAGAGGGGCCCCGAGTGCACGCGCTCCGTCATGTACAGGTCCCCACAGAAGCCCAGGAGACGAGGGGTGTGGCCACGGTCCTGGAGGAGCAGACCCAGCAGAACCTGAAATGTGTAAGCAAAGATTATAGTACAGGGACGGCAGATGTAGTAGTACAGGGGGGGTAGTTGTAGTAGTAAACGGGGGGTAGTAGTAGTAGTACAGGGGAGGTAGTTGTAGTAGTAAATGGGAGGTAGATGTAGTACAGAAGAGTAGTTCAGGGAAGTAGTTGTACAGGAGGAGTAGATGTAGTAGTACAGGGGAGGTAATTGTAGTAGTACAGGAGGGGTAGCTGTACAGAGGAGGTAGTTGTAGTAGTACAGGAGAGTAGTACTGGGACAGTAGTTGTACAGGAGGGGTAGATGTAGTAGTACAGGGGAGGTAGTTGTAGTAGTACAGGGGAGGTAGTTGTAGTAGTACAGGGGAGGTAGGTGTAGTAGTAAATGGGAGGTAGATGTAGTAGTACAGGAGAGGTAATTGTAGTAGTAAATGGGAGGTAGATGTAGTAGTACAGGGGAGGTAGGTGTAGTAGTACAGGAAAGTAGTTCAGGGGAAGTAGTTGTACTGGGGAGGTAGTTGTAGTAGTAGTGGCTGTAAAAGTAGCAGTAAAGTTTATAAACTAGGGCTGTAGACCTTTAGTCGTTCAGGTGATCAATCAGTTGAGTTTTAAATTAACCAAAATTTGTATTAGTCAACTATTCATTTTATTTAGAGTATAAAGATTTATATGGAACAACAGCAGAAAAGAGAGGTGAGTGAGTTAGCTGAAGTTTTGGTATTTTTTCGTACTTACACGTAAAAAGGCAAACTAAACTCATAATTCACAAGTTTCATCTATTGTATATAAATGCATTGTTTCAAAGTACTTTTTTCTGCATGAATAGTTTTTGCATGAATTCCCTCTGCAGGTGTAGTGTGGGTCAGATACAGACATACAAAAATGTTTTGAAACCTTTTGTCACACTTTAGTCAATGTCTTTAGTCAACTACAGCCCTATTTTATACCAACTGGAATTTAGCAAAAGAGTCACAGTTGTCATATTGAAATGTGAAAATACTCTGTGCTTTTGTCATACACTTAAAACACTTTATACACTTCCCACTTTTGGTTTCTCACTGCCTCTCAAATAATAAAGTCACATTGTTTTCTTAGTCATCATTGTTTATTCATTCCACACTCAGTGATAAGATGCCGAGGGGTAGACTGAAAAAAGTGAGGCTACTAATCTGTGCCATTGGCCCCTCGACCGCACGCACACACACAGACACACACACACACACACACACACACACGCATACCACATACATACCAGGCAAGGTGGATGAAGTGTTTTGTTTAAAGGTGCACTGTGTTTAGTTTTTAGCTGGGGGCCCTTCACCTGCTTGTTTCTATGGATATGTCATTGTTCTGTCTGGAATGTTCCACAGTTTGACATTAAACAGCTTTACCTGCAATTTTGTCTGGTTTGATCTCCATGAAGATAGAAAGGTTTAATGCTATACTTTATACTAGAAAGGTTTAATACTATACATGTAAGCAATAATGTATAAAAACATTTGATGGACCTTCTATTGGAAAATTTACACAATGCGCCTTTAAGGACAGAACAACAGCTCTTGGTCCGAGCAGGAATCAGGAAACCTCTAACTTTCAGGTCCGTTTCTACACTACACTCAATACACTGGTTTCTCACAGCGTGTCTAATAATAACGTAGCGTTCTTAGTTCCAGGTTAGACAGTACCTCATCCATCTGTAGAAGGGCCCACATGGAGCGCGCCTCTGGCAGTGACACGCGCCCGTCTCGGTTGCCGTCGGCGACAGACAGGATGTGGGTGACAAGGCTCGCCAGGTTTCGCCTGCTCTCCCAGTTTAGACTACAAACACACACAGACACAAGGGTCAATATGGTGGAACAGGCACTGATCTAATGACAAACACTAAGAGATCAGGAGAATCTTTTGCATTATTTAAATGTGCACTGTGTAACTTTTCTAGCTGAGCATCTGCTATCTGCTTGCTATTGCTTTGCTCACAGCATTGATTCTTGCATTTAAATAGCAGCTGTTTTTGCTAAATGAAAACAAAGCATGAATAATGTGCATTTATTATGTATAATCAGTAGAGAGGAGCCATTTTAATAAATTGTGGTACTTAAAACTTTATTGAATTAATTAATTATTTAAAAGTAATAAGTTATGTTTTATTAAATGTATAATTTTAATTTTTGTCTCTCAACTTGTCAATGTATTTTCATTTGGCTTACATCTCAAATAATATATAAGTAAACCACAACATTTCACAATAGTACATTTTAATATCCACCTGATGTCTGCTTTCAAAATAATGAAACTGAAAATCTAATTATTGAAATAAACCAACCAATAGTACCATTTCCTGATATACTCCACATGTCTATACTTCATTTTAGTATACACAAACTCAGTGACACAAAAACTGGCCCTTGTGAGTTTCCGTACCTTGAGATGATTGAAGACCATCTCCCTGAACTTCTCCACAGACGTCCCTCTGGTGGGTGTGTCGAAGACAGGCACCTCTTTGCGTGGCTCTGGCTCCTCCCCCAGCTCGTAATGTGCCACCTCCCCCAGTTTACAGTGGATAATGCCATCATGGTCCCCCCAGCTCCCTGTGTACACCTGCCAATCACACACAACCAAAAAACAAGATTATTAAGTTAAATTAATAGATAAGTGCAATTATGTGGGTTATATTTGTAGGTAAAGAATAATAACTGACAATTTAGAAGCAATCTAAATCTAAGTATGTCATCTAAGTAAGATGATATGGGCGTGTGGGCTGAGCATTGGACAGAATCATTCTGTTATCTGTAAGAAGGGTTTGAACAGGGCCCAAGCGATCTCTAACTTCCTCACACATGCATGGATGACACAAAAAATCTCTTCAGGCATGTTTTTGATGGTTCAAAGCTCCAAAATATCAATTTTGCATAACACCCCCTTTTTAAAAATGATATATTGTTTTACTATAGTTATTTATTTATTAGGTGCAAATAATTGCAACAACTACTCATTAATCAGGGGCCTCCAGCTCTGCAGCTACCAGTAGCTCTTCACCTCATTTCAAGTAGCGCCCTTAAGCATTTAAGAATTATGCATATTAAACTGAACTGGCCCATCTTGCGTTTAACATTTTACAATAGAATATCATTAACTTCCCTACCACAGTGCACTGATTAGTTGTGCAACTAATTGTATCAACCTAGAACTCAACAATATAAATGTTGATTATTTGGGACTAGTAAGAACAGAAGACGCTCACAACCATTTTGGTTTTGGAAAAGTAGGTGAGGAGAAAAAAAGCTTCGAGACCCTTCAATCAAATTCAGGCGTTTTTTATTATAATAATAAGATTGATGTGTGACACCCCTTCTACTTACATTTGTTTCTGTTACAGTAGAGAGATTTATGAGATATGATGGTAAATGGAGTCACCTGGTTGTTGGGTGAAGTGGAGAGGCACCTGCCCATGTACAGAGTTTCTTTGTCACACAGACCCACACAGGCCGAGCCGTCGATGATTCCTCTTTTGTATTTATCACACTAAAAACATGACAAAGCAGCAAAATCAGAAATGAGAAGTTTGATGATTCTCACACTTCAGTGTAAAAAAATGCTGATTCTGCTGACTGGGAAATGTTAAAACGGTTGAAATATTTTGACACTTTCCAGTGAAAATTATTCCTAAAGACACTGTACAAAATAGCCACGGCCTTTGTTCTGCTGCTGATTTCATAACCAGTATTTGGAAGAGTGTTGATAGTGATGATGTGGGTTAAGTGTTTGCCTTCTAACAAGAGGGTTTCCAGTTCAAAAATGTGCTTTGTGCACTCTGTAGTGTTCTCCTGGGCAGGACACTTCGTCCAGTGTGTGGATGGCCTGGTTGTTAAAACATCTTTGCCAAGTCACTGACTGCTTCACTGTGGCAACCTACAAGATTAAATGGGAGACAGCCAAAGAGGATAAAGGCATTAACTCTTTAAGTATTATGTCTTAGTTTTAATCTAGCTCAAATTCAGTTCTGGTTAATACTGAAGTTGTCTCCATTTGTGTAAATGCAGATTTTAGTTTAAAGCCAAACTTGTACACAGTATCTATCTACTTCCTAGTCTGAATCGTAGTTGCATTTTGTAATCGTTATCTGGACAGTAAATATTACACAGCGTATACAGAAGTGCCTTTATTTTTAACCTTTTACCATTTGGTTGATAATGCATTTTAATAATCTCAATGTATAATAGTGGTAAGAGTCCACTATTAACATAATATAATAACACTTATTGTATTCTTAATTGTGATTTTGTGTATTTGAAGAATGTCAGATGGACCAAAGGTAACAGCTCCAGTCCTCATCAGGAGAACTTGCTGCTATGTTCTTTCTCTGCCTCAGTGTTATCATGAGTCCTACTGAATGTCTCTTCTGTTTACTGACCTCTCACATAAAACCTACAAGCCACAAAATCAGAAGAGGAATAGAAATAGAATTTGCCCTTTATTTCTACAACCCTACAAGCCATCAGTTTGCACTCAGTTTTGTTTACATTGATCCAGGTCAGCGGTGAGCACAAGGTGAGAAAGCTGTGTGCCGGCTGAATCAATACCAACTGAATTACCAGAAGTGTCTGAAAACAAAGATGCAGCTGTGCGACTCACAATGGCGTTTTTGCACTGGTGCCCCCTGCACAGCTCGGTGTAGCTGGAGTACTGCACGTAGATGACCCAACTGCCCACCAGGACCGTGAGCCAGGTCAGGAACAGGTATTTGACCCGCACACACGAGATCCGAGCCTGTATGGGTGACAAAAAGGACAATTATTGGTTAAATTAATCTATTGAGGGACTGGAGTTAAAGGTTAAAGTTAAAGGTTACCTAAAATTGACTTAAATGTTGACTTAAAATGTTGGTACCTTCTCAAAAACATACCCAGAGTTGTGTTTTATTTCATTCTCACATGTTTGAGTGAACCTTTAATATCAGGCTGTCTACATCTCCAAACCTCAAAATGCTCTTTTCCACTTTGTGATGTCATTAAGAGGTAGTTTTCAATTGACAGCTACCTTTTATCTTTTGTTCTGTAGACTCTGCTCTGTTTTTGACGATGAAACAACATTATAACATTTTTTTTTTTTTTTTTTTAAGTATTTTGGAACAATAAAACCATCAATAAGGGTATATCTACTTAATGTCATACTATGGAACATTCCAGGCAGAGCAATGACATTTCCACAAAAACAAGAAGAGGATGGACCCACTACCAAAAAGTTACACAGTGTGCCTTTAAAGCAAATAGTGACAATTTATTTTTTCACTCACTAAACTAACTATTTATCCAAACACCACAAAGTCAACACATTAACAATGGACATCATGCCTGCTCTCTCCCACAATAAAACACCACGGGACCATAGCACGCTGTGATGTAATCTGAAACCCATAGTAGAGCTTTCTAATCAACCTTGAGTTTGTGTGTCGCCATGGTGACAGCAGCAGGAGGCGCCTATCACGGTGTCTGGCTAAAAAGCTCGTTAAGAACTGAAGATGGCTGATTCTGTCCTCATTTATGTTTTTATTGTCAGTTTCATTACATCAAATTTAATTAAAAAGTGTATAACGATTTGGATTAGATATTAAAGTTTGTATTACCCTTATATTATGACATCAAGGCTCATATGCAGTTGGCAGATTTATTTATACAAGGTAAACATGCACACGTTGAATATATCTTTTACTGATAACAACTGTAATGCTGATTATTGTATGCTGATTAAAGTATTGGATATTTAATTTACGTTTTAGACTTTTGGCTCACACATCACACTATATTACAGTAACAAAGGGTAAAAAAAAAAAAAGGTAATAATACATTCAAAACAAATAGCAAAAATAGCAAGAGACTGGTGTCAAATAATTCATAATTATGTAAATGTATATGTACAAATTAAAATAAAACATACAAATATACATTAGCTCCAGTAGCCCCTGGTGTTTTGGTTCTTGAGAAAATTATCCAATCAGAGAGCAGAATGAGCCTTAGATTTAGACTTAGAATTAGATAAACTTTATTGATCTACAAGGGAACTTATTTGGACACAGAAGCTCACAGATCACAATATAATATAATAATAGAAAGATAAGTAATAAAATATAAAATCACAGCTTTATACAATTGGTAATATATATACTATATAATAATATTGAGTTGTTGTACAGTTGTAGGGAGTATTATCTGTTACATAAAGGTGAGTTGTTGTACAGTTGTAGGGAGTATTATCTGTTACATAAAGGGTGAGTTGTTGTACAGTTGTAGGGAGTATTATCTGTTACATAAGGGTAAGTTGTTGTACAGTTGTAGGGAGTATTATCTGTTACATAAGGGCAAGGCAAGGCAAGGCAAGTTTATTTGTATAGCACAATTCGTACACAAAGTAATTCAAAGTGCTTTACAGAATAAGAAATACATTAAAATCATAATAAAAACAAATCAAAACATAAATAATCATGAAGATTAAAATTAAAAAAGAGAGACATAAATTGGAGAGAAGAGTGCGGAATGAAAACCTTTCAGTTATTTGCACAGTGAAACAGAAATGTTTTGAGTCTGGATTTAAACAGCGTCACAGAAGAGGCCTGTCTCACATGTTCAGGAAGACTGTTCCAGGTTTTAGCTGCATAAACCTGAAACGCTGACTCCCCTTGTTTAGTTCTGACTCTGGGCACCAGAGGGGGCCGGTCCCTGAGCTCCTCAGAGTGCGAGATGGGGTGAGTTGTTGTACAGTTGTAGGGAGTATTATCTGTTACATAAAGGTGAGTTGTTGTACAGTTGTAGGGTATATTATCTGTTAGATAAGGGTGAGTTGATGTACAGTTGTAGGGAGTATTATAGTATGAATGTAGGCCTGTATCTCTCACTGTTTGAGTGGAGTTGTAGGAGGCTGTTGGAGAGTGAGCTCCTCTGTTTCTTTATATTCTGGTGGAGCCTTACATGAGTCTGTTGTTTGGTTGAAGTTTCAGTGCTGTTCAAACCCAAAATGTCTCTCTCTGATCTGAATGGTCACTCCCTAAATCTCAGCACCTGCAGCCAGTCATGAGTCAGTGCTAGTGCAGCTTCTGCAGCTCAGTGAGGCACTTTAGGAGGTTCTGAGCTTCACATGAGACATGACCTGTCCATATATTGAGAATGTGACAAACTATATGTCCTCTTTCTGCAGGTTAAGGCACCAACCCAGGTTCAGTTGTGATTATCTTTTTTAAGACTGTAAGATCACAACCAGCTCCTTTAATATCACAATTGTAGGTTGAACTGTGGACCACTGTTGGTAAATGGCACGGACAATTTTTAAAGTTCCTATATCATGCAAAACTGACTCTTAAAACATAAATAAAATATGCAGAGTTTATGTGTTAAAGGTGCATTGAGTAACTTTTCTGGTGGAGCGTCTGTCAAATGCTTTTCTCCGTGGAAATGTTATTGCTTTGTCTGGAATGTTTCACAGTATGGCATTAAACCATTCTATCATCATGGACACCAAACCAGACCAAGCTGTAGGTCAGATCTGTGGAGAAGCAACCCTGCTCACAGTCAGAATGCTGAATGTTTTTTTGAGCTGTAATTGAATAAATGTAAGGTAGAGCTGTTTAATGTCACACTGTGGAATGACATAGCCATAGAAACAAGCAGGTGACAGACCCCCAAACAAAAAGTGACATAGTGCAACTTTAAACATGTGTGAATGAAATAAAAGACAACTCCTGGAAAATAGCGTAATATGGGCCCTTTAAGTGACTCCAACACCAACTTAAGTAGCTACACAATCCTAAAATCTTAACTACTTCACAATTTGGTCGGCTCACATTAGTTCCCACCCTCTACACTTCACCATCTTCTTGAAATCCACTTGGAATCTGTTTGTGATTGTTGTGGTCATGTGACAGGAAGTTCTGGTATGTTTTGGCAGGGCTGGGAGACATAATGTGGCCCCTGTGTGTTTGGGGCCCCAGTCTTTGAAGTTCATTGCTGTGTGGAATCTGCTCTACACCACGTGCACGTACAGGGCTTTGTCATGGGCCTGTAGATCATCACAGCCCCATCACATGTACGAGGGTGATGGAGGAGCTCAGCCAGTTTAAACAGGGAGAATGGTATGAGAAAAATGTGCAAATAGTAAAAAAAAAAAATTGAAATTGAAATATGTGAATATACAACGTGACAGTGCAAGTTAAGGATATGCTGCTGAATTTGTATGGAATTGGGAAAATTCTACAGGAAGTTATACTATTGAAGTAACTTTTTAAATTTTTTTTTTTTTAAAACAAAAACGATGCAATGATATGATGATTGACAGGACATAGGGTTATCTGCTACATAAGGGTGAGTTGTTGTACAGTTGTAGGGAGTATTATTTGTTACATAAGGGTGAGTTGTACAGTTGTAGGGAGTATTATCTGTTACATAAGGATGAGTGGTTGTATAGTTGTAGGGACTATTATCTGTTACATAAGGGTGAGTTGTTGTACAGTTGTAGGGAGTATTATCTGTTACATAAGGGTGAGTTGTTGTACAGTTGTAGGGAGTATTATCTGTTACATAAGGGTGAGTTGTTGTACAGTTGTAGGGAGTATTACCTGTAACATAAGGGCGAGTTGTTGTACAGTTGTAGGGAGTATTATCTGTTACATAAGGGTGAGTTGATGTACAGTTGTAGGGAGCATTATCTGTTACATGAGGATAAAATAGACAAAAATAAAAGCACATTTCATAATGGCTTTGCTTATAGCACTGAAAAAAAAAAAAAAAAAGTCTTTTCTCAGAGCAGGCTTGCACAAACTTAACTCTTCTCTGGCCTAGATCAGAGCCTCGTCCTCCTCCTTGTTTCCATGGAAATGTAGATTGTAATATTCCACAGACTGGCCTAAAACATTTAAATCCGCAGAGAATGTTCCAGTATAGTTAGTAACTTTCTGTTTCCATGTAATCACGCAGCTGACTTTCCAACCCCAGAAAGCAACATACTATCACTTTAAGAAATCAGGAATAAATCCCTTTATTTACAAATTTAATGAAGTCAAACCAGGACCAAGTATCAGATGTCTTCCTCCTGACATCTCCAAGCTCAACTGTCATCATAGTCTGCTTCAGTTAAATGCACCATTTCTTATTTACATCAAACATGTTCCAGTGTTATGGGGGTCTTAAAGGTGCACTGTGTACATTTTCTCATGGACGGTATGCCACCTGCTTGTCTCCATGGAGAGTTTATTGCTTAGTTTGGAATGATCCTTACATTAGTGTTGTCACAATACTAAAGTTTCAAACTAAATTTCAATATTAATACTACATTTGATATTCTACTATTCTATTCTATTGATACCCAAAACCCAAATGATAATGTTAAAAGTGTAAAATGTTTGAGATAATATTGTAATTTTCAACACAAAATAATAGTATTTGTTTATTATTCCATGTGGTCTATCACTAGTTCTGATAAAAAAACAAAAACAAAAAAACAGTATCAAATGTTGTCCAAAATTTGACCCAGTTAAGTGATTTTTTTTTTTAGTATTGATACCTGCTTAAATAAGTATCTAGTTTCAATAGTTATTTTAGCATCATGTAGTATCTGATTTTCAATACTTTTGACACCCTTACTTTACATCATCATGCATGAGACGCCACTCCACCAGGCCAAGTTACACCAGCTGTCTTTAACTGAAACTTTGTCACTTTCTCATTCATCTTTTATATACATTGCACAACTAAACAGCAGCTTTCCAGGCTAAGCACTCAACAAGATCATATCCTTCTATGGGGAATTATAAGCGATCCAAAGCCCTTTATCAGATCTGACCCTATGCCCTCTTTAGTACAGCATGTCATTGGAGAGATACATGCAGTGAAAGTGGAACAGAAACACTCTCCCCAGAGGCCCTTCAGTCCTGCAACTACCTAGAAATGTTGTCAACAGTACTTAAAATAAGATACTAATTTATATTACAACTGGTAATGAAACTAGATACTCATTTGAACTAGTATCTATACTAAAAAGTCACATTCACAGGACAAAAATGAACCTTTCCTGAATAGCTTTAGAATGACCTTAGCTCTAGAATGACCTTGAGCTGTATCAAAAGTGTAAGACCAAATAAACTAGTACACGTTCAAGGCATGGACAACTATGGAACCAAACAGAATGACTGAAGGACTGCACAGATATAAAGCCACATGGTAATATAAAAGAAAGTACTGTGATTTAATGTTGAAAATCACATTCTATTGTCTAAATAAGGAGTTTAAAAAAAATTATCATTGTGGTATCAGAATATGTACAGAGTATCGAGTCTATGCCTTAGTATCAAAATAGAGTTTGACATTTTTTGAACAAACATCATACATACAATATACTCAAATGGACAAATTAACCGATGCAAAATTGTGTTAATGTGCAAATGTTTTTGACAGGCTGTGTTCAGTTCTTGTCATAGTTTGACTACCAATCACATTACCACAGTTACCCAGAAGTCATTTTGCCACTGGATGATTTTCATAACTTTACATATAGTAAAATACACTTCTAGTATATTCCTAGACAGTCATTAGGATAACCTCAAAGCAACAGCCTCTCCATGTAGAAACACATTTCACAGTTCCTCCACCAGAAAAGTTACACAATGCCCCTTTAAAATAATTATAATAAGCAAAATGGTTACAGTGTTTGGTCAAGCGAGAGTAAAAGCTGTGGTGTGAGCGGCTGTCGGCAGTTCCCTTGTGCTACCTTGTGTTAGCTTCATGGGTAAATTCAACTGTGTTCCTTCACATTCCTGCGAGACTGTGCGAGTTGGTAATTGTTGGGAGGCTCGGCGACAGAAATTTGGGCGAGGAGCCTCACATGGGCCCCCCTCTAATATAAATAAATAGAAAGAGGGTTCAATTCTGTGCCTCTTCTGTACCCCTTTGTCCCCCACGTCAACTCTCCACATTGTTAGTAATGTCATAACCTAATGAATACAATATAACAGAGACGATATGAACAATACAAACTCCATACCATTTTCAATACCAGAATGATTATTAAAGTCATTTTCAACATGACATAATCCTTATCTATTCAGGAAAGGTCCAGTGATTTCATCAGTCCTGTTCAAATATGTATTTAGTTTAGTTAGTATATAGGTAACCCTTTAACAGAACAGATATGTACTTACCCATTTCAGCAATGATCCTCTACAGTTCAAATGTTAAAATATTACAAAAAGTACTTTATGATCCCCTATTATGCAAAGTTAACTCTTGTGAGCCTTAAGCCATGTTATAATCTTGTTACCTCATCATAAACATACTTGGAGTTGTGTTTTGTTTCATTCACACATGTTTGAGTAATCCGTTTTATTAGTATGTCTACATCTCTAAAGCTCAAAATGCTCTGCTTCACCTTGTGATGTCATGTTGTGGTAGTTTTCAAGTTAACATCAACATTTGAGCAGCTTTAGTTCAGTAGAGATTGGCATTTCCAGTACTGAAATTATTCAAATGATTCTACTGAAGGTGTATGAAGTTTAAAACACAGTGGAGCACTTCATGTATTACCACATGACATCACAAGGTGGAACAGTGCGTTTTCTGTTTGAGAAAAGAACTAACCTAGCCTAAATACACAGGATTTGTGTGTTGAACATGTGTGAATGAAAAAAAAACACAACTCCAGGTCTGTTTTTGATGAGGAAACAACATTATAACAGATTAAAAAAGCAAACTGCATAATATTGGCTCTTAAAAAAGGTTTTAGACAAATATTAAGCCTCCAAAACTGTTTAATGGCCATATTTTATGCATCAGTTTAGTAAGTAGACCATTATTTTGAAAAACCTAACAGCAGCAAAACAATACAATATAGTCTATATTAAAAAGTGGTTGAAAAAAGCCTTCTGCTCTGGTATGATTTATTCAGTAAGTCCTGTGCTGGCATGCCATAAATAATACATTATTTTTTATGGGTTGAATACAATCTGACCCTGCGCTGTGATTGGTCAGCACAACAGTCTTTCAGGAGAGGAAGTGAGAGGACACAATAAGAATGCAGATAAGAAAGCAATACAAAAAAAAACAAAAAACAAACAAACTTAAAATTGCCCTTAAATTAAACTTCATCTAGCATTTAATCATCTGTTGTGTTTCTATTGTTCAAAAATACAATCATTCCTTCTGTGAATAGGGGTGACTCTCCACAGATCTGAACTGTAATGTAGTGCAGTGCTTTAACCTGCTTATCTTAGGTTTAATCTATACTGTGGAACATTCCAGACAAAGCAATAGCACTTTCATGAAAACAAGCAGGTGGCGGGCCTGAGCGGAACTTAAGAATGCAGATAAGAATGCAATAATTTATTTTAAAATAAAACAACCCTTAAATCAAGCTTAAAGCAGGCCTAGTATACAAAAAAATACTTGTTATAGCTGTTTCCCTTCTTATTTACCCTCTCAAAGTTGTATTTAGTGTGATTTATGCACGTTTGACTTATTTTATTCATTACTTATTTTCAAGATGCCAATATAATCAACTCCTGTTTTTACCGCCACCAGCCTACACCCACTGCTCTTTTACCTCGTACTCCAATTACATTTTCTTAATCGTGATACATGTACAATTTGGCAGTATCGTGTAATCATTTTGGTACAAATGAAAAAAAAAATAAAAATCCACTAGCTAGCATGATCTGCGACTATCCATCGGAGGGGCCAACAACTTCACAGCTCTTTGTTGTGATGACATTCATGGCAACATCCGTGGACTTGTTTATTTATCAGTCATTTTAGATTAATTTTGTGATTTAAAGCGTGCAAATTATAACACAAGGATCCATGGGTGTCTTAGATTCTATAGAACAAATATCAAAAATAAAAATAAAAGCTTCAATGAGTCTTTACACTGACAAAACACCAACCGATTCTTTTTGTTATTGTCTAAACTCTCCCTGACATACGGGCTGAAGAACAGTAAACAAAATGTAATCAAAACTGCTACATAAAAATAGAAAATTCCACAGTTAGCTATTAGGAGCTTGAGAAGAGCATATCCTGTCACTGCTCGGGTCGCTCTGACACCTGCTAGCCTAGCACATGAGTTTAGCTAGCTACCTCTGCAGGGATTTCCTGTGATTCATTCAGTTAGATTCAGTCAGTAGCAAAAGCATC